TACTACTACTACTACTACTACTACTACTACTACTACTACTACTACTACTACTACTACTACTACTACTACTACTACTACTACTACTACTACTACTACTACTACTACTACTACTACTACTACTACTACTACTACTACTACTACTACTACTACTACTACTACTACTACTACTACTACTACTACTACTACTACTACTACTACTACTACTACTACTACTACTACTACTACTACTACTACTACTACTACTACTACTACTACTACTACTACTACTACTACTACTACTACTACTACTGACTACTACGAGTACTACCACTGCTATTACCACTGCTACTTGTACTGTAAGTGCGTGCGCATTGCCGCCGGGCCCCAGGCTCTGCGGTGCTCGCGCGCGCTGTGTTCACAGGCGTTGTGGCGTTCACACGGGTTGTGGCGTTTTCTGGTTATGTCGCGTGCACAGGCGATGCGGCATTCACGGGCGCTGTGGCGTTCGCAGGCGCTACGTTGACAGGCGCTTTGGTGTTCACAAGCGCTGTGGTTTTCACAGACGCTGCGCTCGTCAAAAGCATTGTGCCGTTTACGGGCACGTCGCGTTGATCGGACCGCAAACTATTGTAGCGCTTGACATAGGCGCGTCGTGGCTGTCGGGTCGCAAGCGATTTTTTCGCTGGCGTACTACAGGTGGTGTGCACGTTGACAGCTGTATACACAGGCGCTGTTGTGCACCCGTGCGTTGCGACGTACGCTGACGATGTTGTGCACGCGTAGGTTGCTGCATCAGCATGCGTGGTGTTCGTGGGCATTGCGGCGCTGTGTAGCACTCGCAGCTGCTAGGTCCTTTCGTTGCATGAGTGCTATGACCAATAGTAACAAAGGGCAGTCCTTCCAGCACAATCAGCATTCGAGCGGCCAGGCGCGACTGCGTTGTGCGCGCGGAACGTGCTGCTGTGGGCGCAGCAAAGGGTGTGACAAAAAAATGGTATGGCGCGTTTACAGTCGTATACGCAGTTTCTGTGGTTTAGTGATCCTTGCCATGCGCCATGCACTGTGGTGTACACGCGCGATGTGGTGCGCGCGTAGGCTGCTGCATCAGAGTGTGTGCATACAGCCATTCGAGCGGCCGGGCGCGGCTGTGTTATGTTATGTGCCAGCGACCCCACCCACCCACCCAGCCACATAACGCGCGTTATGTGGAATAATAAAAACTTGATCTCTAGTGTTGGGGGCGTTCTTGGGGCCCTCTTGGGCCGTGCTGGAGGCCTCTGGGGCCGTCTTGGAGCCGTCTTGGGCCGTCTTGGGGCCCTCTTGGGGGCCTCTTGGGCCCTCTTGGGGCGATCTTGGAGGCCTCTTGAGCCGTTTTGGGGCGTCGGGGAACCGAAAAGGTTAAAACGCCCAAATCTGTCCAACACCAAAGGAAAAGCACAGGTTTTTGCCTCTTGGGGCCCTCTTGGGAGTTCTCTTGGAGGCCTCTTGGGGCATCTTGGAGGCTTCTTGGGCCATCTTGGAGACGTCTTGGGCCGTCTGGAGGCCATCTTGGGCGTCGTGGAGCGATCTTCGGGCGTCTCGGACCTCTCTTGGACCGTGTTGGGGGCGTTCTTGGGGCCCTCTTGGGCCGTCTTGGAGGCCTCTGGGGCCGTCTTGGAGCCGTCTTGGGCCGTCTTGGGGCCCTTTTGAGGGCCTCTTGGGCCCTCTTGGGGCGATCTTGGAGGCCCCTTGGAGCCGTCTTGGGCCGTCTTGGGGCCCTTTTGAGGGCCTCTTGGGCCCTCTTGGGGCGATCTTGGAGGCCTCTTGAGCCGTTTTGGGGCGTCGGGGAACGGGAAAGGTTGAAACGCCCAAATCTGTCCAAAACCTAAGAAAAAAAACATTGATTTTTGCATCTGGGGGCCCTCTTGGGAGTGCTCCTGGAGGTCTCTTGGGGCATCTTGGAGGCGTGTTGGGTCATCTTGGAGACGTCTTGGGCCGTCTGGAGGCCATCTTGGGCGCCGTGGAGCGATCTTCGGGCGTCTCGGACCTCTCTTGGATTGTGTTGGGGGCGTTCTTGGGGCCCTCTTGGGGCGATCCTGGAGGATCTGGGGGAGTGTCCCGGGCTCCGCCCGGGCTCCGCCCGGACTCCATGGTGGTTTATTAAAGGGAGGTCTGTCCACCGCCAGATGGTAGAACATGTTCTGTTCAGTTTGTCTCGGCCAGATGAGAGGCGGAATCCCGATGTCGAGTTCGGCTTCTCAAATGGGGGCCATACTAGCCTGCCGATTCCTGCCGATTCGAATTGTCCCCTCTTGGCTGCCGATGTTCGCCGACCCGATTCGTTTCGATCGCCGATCCGACTCATCGATTCGATGCTGGGCTCCCCCGCCACCGCCGCCGATCGCCTCTCGCCGCCGCCGCTAGCGCGACGTCGTCGTCGCTGACCGTCGTCCGTCGTCGCCCTTGTCGTCGTCGCCGCTGATCGCCGCCCTCCGCCGCCGCCGCGGAGAGGACGTCCCCCTGGCGCCCGCCGCGGAGCCCCTCGGCGCGGCGCTGGGGCTCTGGGGCGCGCCAGCTGGCGCGGCGCCGCGGGCGCCGCGTGTCGCGCGCGTCGCGCGCAGACCGCCGCCCCCGCGCGGCGGCGCCGACGACGACGACGCCGACGACGACGACGACGACGACGACGACGACGCCGACGCCGACGACGACGACGACGACGACGACGCCGACGACGACGACGACGACGACGACGGTCAAAGTGAGGACGACGAAAGCGAGGACGACGAAAGCGAAGACGACGAAAGCGAGGACGACGACGACGACGACGACGACAGCGAGGAAGACGACGACGAGGTCGAGGACGAGGACGACGCCGCCCCGCGGCGGCTGTATGGGTTCGCAGGCTCGGCGGAGGTGACCCCAGATCTCGGCCAGTATGATTTTGTCCAGAGTCCGTTTGTTCTTCCTTGAGTTTGACACTTGGGGCCCTCTTTTGGGGCCCTGGGGCCAGAAATTGTGGACCTGAGGCGAAAGATTGGCCCTGGAGAAGGGGTCGGAACTTGGGGACCGCGCGCTGAGAAAAATCAGATCATCGGATGTCCGGGGATGACGATGAAGACAAGCCCCGAGGGGCCCGTCACGTAGCAGCGCCCAGGGCGATGATTACAAAGCGGGTTCTGGTTCCGGTGGTATTTGTTGATCATCGTATCTTTTTCGTTCCAGGCTGCAGAGAATATGTCTTGCATCGTTCCCGACGTGAGTGCGTCTTCCCCGTCGTCCTAGATTCGGGGGAGGGTGCTCCGAGGATCGAGGATGTAGGTTTGTCACGACCGTCCTAGTTTTTGAACCTCTGGGAGGCTTCTCGGCGCCACGGCTGGGTCCGCCTCTGGATCCTTGTCGGACCGCACCCCTGGACAAGCACAGGTTGATTGGTGCCCTCCGAGCCCCAGACGTTTCTCGCGTCGTGAAAGAAGTGACGAAGGAAGGCTCCTGACAATCTTCAGCCTCAAGGGGCCCCTGCCTGGCCCTTGGCATCGCTCGGACGTGTGCATTTTTCCTTCGGCGAGGACCATCGAGGAGCATCCTTTATCATCATTTCGCGAAAAAACCACACACGAAACCGAAACAAACACAGGAAATGGACGTCCGAGCGATGGCCAGGGCCGCGGGGTCGTCAGGTAACGATTCGGGAGGAAGCTCAGGTTCACGCGAAGTGGCCCAGACCTCTGGGGCGCCTTCCGCGGACTCGAGCCTCGAAGATCGAAAGTCCTCCCCCACCTTAGTGGGCCCTGGAAACGACAGGGCCGTTTTTTTACCAGTCCCGTTCTGCCGTTTTTGTTGCCGGTTCCGACGCCGTTTTTCTTACCGGTTCCGTCACCGTTTTTTGACCGGTTCCGGCTCCGGTTCCAATCCTGGAGCCGTTTGTTTGCCGTTTCCGGTCGCCGTGTTTTTGCCGTTTCCATTTTCAAGGGACATTTTTGCTGGAAACGGTGAAAAAACGGCCCTGCCGTTTCCGGGGCCCACGAAGTCCCCCACCTCCTCCTTTTCCTGCTCTTCCTCTTGGTCCTCCTTGCACTCGAAGCGTAGCTTGTTGATAGTTCCTGCTTACTTTGCCCTGTTCAAGTGTCTCCCGTTTCCATTGCCGTATTGGCCCGGGGGTACGGTAGGTTGCAACCGGACGCGCCCGTGTTAGACGAGTGGTTTACAGTGTTTGTCGCCTCCGCGAACGACGCTCGCGGAACTCAGCTGCTATCTACGTTCGCCGAACGTAGATAGCAGCTGAGTTCCGGCTCTTTTCCAGTACCTGTTGCCGCCATGGCCCGCGCGGCACCTCCGCCAGTCCTTAAAAAAAAAAAAAAAAAAAAAAAAATCCCCATCATCTTCTACGCGTTCGACGAGAATGTTCTTTTTGCTCCCCGTGTTCATCCACCTCGCGCTCCCTGAGACGAGCGACGAGGCGGACATCGACCAGAACAACTACGTCACCAATAACTTCAAAGAGCGCGGCGCCCACCCGCCGCCGCTGGTTGTTTTTCTACCGGGGCGTTTTCCAGTTATGATGGGTACGCGATACCAGTACTTGTAGGGAATACCGCAACCCGGAACCACCAGCACACCAAACGATCCCTACATTCCAGTCCTCAACGCGATTCAACAGCACGTCGAGTGTCACATCGTCTTCTACCAAGAGAGCACGATCATGCATCTGATTTGCTGCGCCACGTGTTTGGGCGAGGGCCAGGGGGTCGGGGATCGACTCCAAGCGCGACTCGGTGCAGCCATCGACCGAAGGCGGAGCCGAATACCCAGCGCGATGGAGAGTTCCACTGTGGATGGAGTGGGCGGCATGACCTGTACTTACATCGTGGGGGAAGAGGCGAGGAGTCCAGGTGATACCCGTCCTCCGCGACAGCGCGCTAGTTTCATCACGCCGCAGAGGAGCAGCTAGAACCCGTAGGTATGGTAGCCAACTGGGCCTCTATTCAGGATCGCGCCATACTTGCAGGCAACAGCCTCGCCCACGCTGGCGGCGTCACTTCATGCTACGTCGTCTTCGGGAAGCTGCCCGTTATGCTGCTACCGCTGGAAGCAGTCGAATCGAGCGAGGTATCCGGCGACATCCTCGCAGGTGCCGACCCCTTGCTGGTGGGGAAGCGCATCCCAGCCGATCGCAGTGGAGAGTCAGAGAGTTCGCATTGCCACGCATGCTTGCGGTTGCGCCCATTTTCCGCGCCAGCCGCGCCTTCCAGACACGCGCCCCCGTGTCCGGAGAGGGTTGGTTCAAAGCTGGCGACCAGGTGGAGATCCACAGGCCTCCGAGCACAGAGAGCGCATCAGGTTGGGCTGGCCGGGGGGCCGTCACGTCTGTCGACCCAGCTCGAGGCAAGGGAACCGCCGACTACCGCTGAGCCGACGTGGTCTGCAGATTGCAGGACGTCCGCACTTTCATCGGGGTCGTCTTCGACGACATGGGCACCAGCTCAGCCAGAACTCGCCTGGCCTGGGACCGAGTGGAGGACATGGGGCGCATCGCGCCAGGCTCCGGCACCTGGGCCATCGGCCATTGGGTGGACGTACGGGGCTCGCATATGACCGCGCAGACGCGGCAACGCCCAGACATCCTCGAGGCTCTACGCCACGTATCTGCTTGTTTTCTCAGCTGCCAGACGTTCGTGCCACACGTTCTCTACGCGGTCAGAAATCGGCGCGAGATTGGCCGGGCTGCGCCCGCGGCTCTGTCATTTTGCGAATTTGTCAGACCGTCAAGACCGCGGTCATAAAGCGCGACGCCGACCTCCTGACCAAAGAAGAGGTGTCCAGGCTGTCCAACGAGGTGTCCGCAGCCATCCTCGAGGGGCTCACAATGTGGGTCAAATACAACTGCTTCGAACGGCGACCACCCCAGGGCGCCCGAAACGTCGTGGGCTCCAGGACTGCCTCTGCATGGGGCCATTGGATGTTTTTGCAGGGGGCCTCCAGATATTTCCGCCTGGGGAATGCTGGGGGCCTCCAGTGTGGATGGCGGTGGATGGAAGGGGTTGAGACCAGGCTGGGCGACGGAGGGCTAGCAGCGTGGGCGTGGATGGTGTTTTTGGCGACGTGTTGGTTGACGTTCCTGGCTTGCCCTGGTGTCTTCAACCTCACAGTTTCCTGTCGTGGAGTCGTGAAGCTAGTTGTGCGTTGGCTTCGTGGTAGAAGAGAAAAACAGGATGGATGGGGTGGAGTGGAAGCATGGAAGGGCGCCCCCCCCGTTTCGCTTTCGTTTCGTCCCCCCTCCTTTTGCTCAGGCGCCCTCCCATTCCACCCCTTTCCCCTCTTGTCCGTGACGCCGCTGTCCCCCCGTCCCCTCTTCAGGCGGGCCATCTGGTCCAGCGGCGCAGAGCTTCTCCTCCGCCGCTCACCCTCGAGTCGTTGCGTGATACCCGACCCCGAACCAAATCACCGGGTCGGTTTTGGAGGTCGCCGCGGCGATCGCGGTGGCCTCAAATAGGGGTACGGCTTCTGCCGAGGCACGTCGATTCCCCGTCCCCTCCCCCGCTCTGTGATGGAGACGTGGCTTGCTATGATCAATACTGCGACACAGCAGGTTTTGCCCGGCATGGGCGGCCACTTATTCGTTAGGGGTCGATAGTTCTGCACGAACGAAATGGGCACGGAAAGAATGGGCACAATGCCCAACAGTGGATATTGTTCATTTTGAACAGGACTCGCTGTCAACGCCGCCGCGGCCTGTGTCCATTCGACACAGAAGGCCGCCTGCCCAACAGCGGCCGCTGTTGGTTTGGGACAACATTTGCTGTTGGACATTGTACAAATTCTTTCCGTATCGATTCCGGGCGTCCACAATATTCACGCATCCACGAAGATCTCGGGTCCCATTTGGTTGGGTGACCAACCCTGGAGCCCTCGACCCCCTTTTTCCCAGGACCGTGTTGTGGTCGGGCGCGCGGTCCCCAGGCGGCCGCACTGCACGGTCGGACCGGGAACTTTTGTTTAGCGTGTCGCGGCGAGCCGTGGCTCGCCGCGACACGCCAACGACGTCCCCACTTCCGACCGTCAACGCCCCGAGCCTTTTTTTCCGAGCTTCCCGCCCCGCGAAGCCCAGCGACACACGCTATCCACCCGCAGGGCGCAGCGCGTGGCCAGGGCCTCCACTGCGACACGCCAGGGAAAGGTTCCCGACCGCAAGTGCTCTTGGCATCGCTCGGACGTGTGCATGTTTCTTTCGGCGCGGACCATCGAGGAGCATCCTTGATCATCCGGCAAAAAAAACACGCACGACACCGAAAAGAAACGCAGAGATAGGACGTCCGAGCGACGGCCAGTGTCAGCAATTCATTCGGCGTCCCATCGCTCGCGGTTGCCGTCGCCGTCGCCCCCGAGAGGCGCCTGCCTTTGCCCACGAGCCGCCGCCGCCGCAGCTGATGCCTGACGTGGCGCGGCGCGGGCAAGGCGCCGCCAGCGTGCCAACCGTGCGCCTTTTGCTCGGCGGCCACGACGACAACAACAACAACAACACCAACAACAACATCAACAACAACAACAACAACAACAACAACAACAACAACATCAACAACAACAACAACAACAACAACAACAACGACAACGACAACGACGACGACGACGACGTGCGACCACGACGATGAGGGCGATCAGGGTCCCTATACAGTAGACATCTGAGATCCGAGGTCCTGCCAGGAGAGGAGAGATCTTGGGGCACACGTGTCATCGAGCACTGAAGTCCTCGAGGTACCCCCAGGGCTCATGTGGGCCCCCAGGGCCATCGGGGGATACAGTCGACCCGCACGGTAAGGATGGGCAACCCACCCAGGGTACTTTTGCATCCGTTCCTCCTCGGTCTATCCTCGGCCACTTTCGTTGGCCGCGCCCCGCTCGAACAGCTTCGAGATGGCCTTCCAAGGCCCGTGCATCCTTGTCGTACGTCCTTATGATACGATTTGACTGTAAGAAACTTCCGCGGGGCAAGATCGCCTCTAGGGCTCCAAGATGGCCCCAAATAGTGCCCCAGGAGGTTGAAGTCGCCCCATTCCTTTCGACAAACAAACGTATATTTTTAGTGTCTACGATTGGCGGGCTGCCCCAGCGTGCACCACGACCCCACACGCCGCTAAGACCGCCCCATCTTAAGGAATCCCCAAGAGAGCCCGAAGACGGCCCAAGCGGGCCTAACAAGACCCACGACGGCCCAGGATGGTTTGTGCAAGCCCCCAGGGGAGCCCATGGGGGGCCGCCAGACATCCCAGACCAAGAGAGCCCGAAGACGGCCCAAGAGGGCCCCAAGAGGGCCCAAGACGGCCCAGAAGGGCCTCCGCAGGCCCCCCGAGGAGCCCAAAGGATGCCCCCAGACACCCCCAAGAGAGCCCACAGGTGCCCACAGCTCCCGAAGACGGCACAGGACAGCCCCAGGGCGGCCTCGGGGGGCTTCTCATCACATCGCTCAAAGGTGCCCCGAGGGGCCTCCGCAAGAGAGCCCCAGCGGGGCCCCCCGCGCCCCCAAAACGGCCCTTGGCATCGCTCGGACGTGTGCATTTTTTTCTCGGCGAGAACCATGGAGGACCATCCTGGACCATCGAGTAAAAAAGACACGCACGAGATCGAAAAATGCACGGGAAATGGAAGTCCGAGCGACGGCAAGGGCCTGAAAGCTCTCAAAAACGGGTTCGGGTCTTGTGCCCCAATGTGGCCACAACAGTCTCCCGGATGCCCCCGAGGCGCCCCTCATGCAGAGGACAGAAGGCGCCCCCCAGGTGGACGACGACCCCGACGTCGTCGAACCTCGAATGGACGACGACGACTACGACGACGACGACGACGACGACGACGACGACGACGACGACGACGGCGGCGGCGGCGGCGGCGGCGACGACGACGACGACGACGACGACGGCGGCGGCGGCGGCGACGACGACGACGACGACGACGAACTCTCCCCCCCGGGCTCCGCCAACTCCGCTACCATCGGCCGCAAATCCCCGGTGCCACCCTCGCGGGCGTCGAAGAGAGCCCCCGGAGGGCCGGAAGACGGCCCAGGACGCCCCCGAGACAGCCCAAGAGAGCTCCAAGGCTGTCCAAGCCAGCCCCCCGACGGCTATGGCAGCCCCCCAGGAGCACCCAAGATCGCCCCAAGAGGCTTCCAATAGGCCCCCAAGAGCTCCGGGGGAAGCCCTCGAGAGGCCAAAATCATCGGAAAATCCATGGACAGTGCAAATAGGTCTGCTTTGTCGCACGTCCGCCTCCGACACGCTTCCGAGGCTGGAGCATGGCCCCCAAGAGAGCGCCAAGAGGATCCCAAGAGGCGTCCCGAGCGGCGCGAAGTGGCCCCAAGAGGCCCCAAGTGGCCCCAAGTGGCCCCCATGACGCCCGAAGGGGCAGCACTGAGGCGAAAAATACGAGCAGGCCCCAACGAGCTCCCCGGAGACTCCCCGGAGGCACCCAGTGCCGAAGAGGGCCCCTAGAGGCCTTCAAGAGTTCCCAAAAGGCCCCCAGGAGAGCTCCAAGATGCCCCTAGAGGCGTCCCGAGCGGCTCTTGGGGGCATGCGCAATGCGCAAGCCTCGGAAGCGCATCGGAAGCGGAAATGCGAGAACACACATATCATAATTCGTCATACGGTTTTTCAATGATTTTGGGCTCGCGAGGGCTTCCCCGGAGCTTTGGGGTGATTCTTAGAGTCTCTTGGGGCAATCATGGGAGCTATTTGTGACCTCCAGAGCCAACTTGAAACAAAAAGGAATTCAATCAAATCCAAGATTGTTGCAAGTTCTCACGTTCCACATACATCTCCTCCCTCTCCTCCTCCCTCCTACCCGCTTTGTCATGTTCCCTCCTCCCTCCTCTTCGTCCTTCCTTCACGCCTTCGTCTCTCCACCTCCCTCATGCGAATCCGTCTCCCGCATCCCTCATTCCCAGTTTCCCTTTCACTCCTTCCTCGCTCCGCCTCTCTCGCCTAGCATCCCGCTCCACTATGTGGTAGGAGACACAGGTTGACAAGAAGGGAAGTCCCTCACATATGTTGTTCCAAGGTCTACTTCCTTCGTTATCTGCTGTACCAGGCTCTGGCGTGCCCCCGAGTGCGTTTCCTGTTTACCAATCCCTCGCTGTTCGTTCTCTCTGATCTCTCCCTTGCTCATGGTTTTCCTGCGTCTCCCGCTCTCCGTTCTTCTCCTTTGTCGCCTTCTCCCTCCTCGCCGTTGCTTTATTGTCCCTTTTCCCTCCTCCTCATCTCTCCTTTACGCCTTCCTCTCTCCGCCTCCCAGGAGGAGGAAAAGGGCGAGGTGGAGGAGAGGTCAGAGAGAGGATCGGGCATCGTGGTCGACGTTCCGGCGGGTTTTGCACGTTTCTGCGAGTTCTCATCGCCGCAGCTGGACGCACCGCGAAATCCTGACCCGGGTAACCCCCGAATGGACTTTGGAGCAGGAGGAAGTAAGGGAATTGCAAAAGTTTCCAGTCGATTGCCGATCTCCTAATGCGTCTCCTCGGTTTCGTCCTTTGGACTCCCTTTCGGGCCCCCGTACCGCCAGAAAATCGTAAAGGCTTGGAAAAACAAACCAGGGTGGACCTCAGAGAGGGTCGAGGGAGGAATGTGGAACGGATTCGGGGTCGCAGAAAGGAGGACGGACGGAGGCGGGAGCAGGATAATCAAGTTTCAATGTTTTGGGGGCGCTCTTGGCCTTCTTCTGGGCCTCTGGAGGTGTCTGTGACCTCAGACCTCCATCGATGCTCCAGCGAGATTGCTAGACTCTCTGGCGCGGTATTGGAAACCATCTTGAGCCGCCTTCGGCCCGCTCAGGAGCATCCTGGGCGATCTGGCAGCCTCCGTGTACCGGATTCGCGGCAACTGGAAAACAAGAAGAACATCCACGTTGTCCGTTGGTTTTTCTCGAGTCGCCGCCAGGCCTATCCCGCGACCGCGTTTGGGTTGTGGTTCAGCGGCGTCTAGGAAATTCAGATGGGTATCTTGGAATGCCTCTCGGTGGCCTCTTGGAATGCTGTGTTTGGCCCTCGGGGCCTCACGTGGGCCTCTGTAGCTCCTCGCTTACGCCTCTTGGGAGCCTCGGGTGTCCCTTGGGCGCTTCTTGCAGACCTCTTGCAGCCATGTTGGCTTCCTCAGGCGTCATCATGGGGAGGAGACCGCGAAATGCCAACTCGGGTTTCAACACCTCCGAGATAGTTCGAGGGGCCCTCGAGACGCCCAGGAGATCTTCGAGACCGCTGAAGACGGTCCACAGGCCAGGAGCCTCCCGAAGCCTCTCAACAATTACATTCGGGCCGCTGTTCGGTGTATCTGCTCAGAGCAGCATGATCTAAGGATTTGATTATCCAGCGACTTGTGCAACGTCCATCAGGAAGTACGCTCCCGTATGATGATCCTTGCGGGATGATGTCCATCTTCATCCGAGTCTGGTTTGGATTGCCCTCGAATCTAAGCGCGCTCGAAGCGCGCGCGGTTCTAGTATATGTGCACATGTATATAAATGTGAGAGCGAGAGAGAGAGAGAGAGACAACGAGAGACAGAGCGAGAGAGAGAGGGGATAGAAAGAGGGAGAGAAAGAGAGAGAGAGAGAGAGAGAGAGACGCGTCGAGAGAGATATGCGGCCCCTTGCCGAAAGGGCCGCCTTTCCCTCGCGGAGGGGCCCCTGGAGGAGGAGGAGGAGGAGGAGGAGGACGAGGAGGAGGAGGAGGACGAGGACGAGGACGAGGACGAGGAGGAGGAGGAGGAGGAGGAGGGGGACGAGGACGAGGACGAGGACGAGGACGAGGACGAGGACGAGGAGGACGAGGACAAAGACGAGGACGAGGACGAGGAGGAGGACGAGGAGGACGAGGACGAGGACGAGGTCGAGGAGGAGGAGGAGGAGGAGGAGGAGGAGGACGAGGACGAGGTCGAGGAGGTCGAGGAGGAGGACGAGGACGAGGACGAGGAGGAGGGCACGTCGCGCCCTCGGCCACTCCGAGGGCGCGGGGCGCGCAGCTGTCGCAGGGCCGGCCCCTCCTCGGAGAGCCGCCCGTGCCCTCGGGGAGGGCCCTGGCGGCAGCCCGCGGGGGACTTGGCATCGCTCGGACGTGGACCATCGAGGACCATCGAGGAGCATCGAGGAGGATCCTTGATCATCGAGGAGGAGGAGGACCATCGAGGATCATCGAGGACCATCGAGGACCATCGAGGAGCATCGAGGAGGATCCTTGAGCATCGAGGAGGACCATCGAGGACCATCGAGGAGCATCGAGGACCATCGAGGACTTTTCTTTCGGCGAGGACCATCGGGGAGCATCCTTGATCATTTGGCGAAAAGGCCACGCCCGAAAGCAACAAAAACACGGGGAATGGACGTCCGAGCGATGGCCAGGGGAGGCCCCCGGGAGGTCCGCCGAGGTCTCTGGATTTGGACGCCCGAAGTGGGTACGGAAAAAATGGGCACAATGGCCAGCAGCAAATGTTGTCCCAAACCAACAGCGGCCGCTGTTGGGCAGGCGGCCTTCTATCTCGAATGGACACAGGCCGCGGCGGTGTGGACAGCGAGTCCTGTTCAAAATGAGCAGGATCCGCTGTTGGGCCGTCGTTAATTCTGGGGCGAAGCAATACGATAGCTGTTTTCCGTATTAAACTTGAGCAGGTTGAAGCAGTTGTTTTTGCACCTGTAGTGGGTTATGTTGCGTCTGCCAGTGAAATTATGAGGTCGGTACCTGCGGTATTGACAGAGGGTGCGCGGGCGGCTGGGGAGGGGAGGGTGTCGGAGGTTGACAGACCTCCTACCCTGACACGTCGATTAGCGAATTGGCCGTTTTCGGTTCGCGCGAGGGCGTCGCGGCCGTTATTTTTGCGGGTCCAGGTCCGTCGGTTTCGGTCCTAGGCCGCTTTCACTACAGGGAGGTTTACTAAAGGGAGTTCTGTCCACAGCCGAAGGTACCGATATCGCCACCCTTCCCTCGTTAGTTCTGGGGCGAATCAATCTTGCAGTCGATCCTCTACTCGAGTGTTGGGTCTTCTGGGAGGCCCTCGTCGCCGAGAGGAGGAACAGGTACCGAGGGGAGGAAAAGGTACCGAGAGGCCCCGAGAGAAGGAAAGGGTACCGATACCGCCGCCCTTCCCTCGTTTCCCTTTTTTCCGACTTGGCGATCGACTGCAGAGTTGATCTACCACATCGAATGTTTTTCCGTCAGATCTACGAGAATGACGTAGAGTGTTCAGAAGATCTATTGATCATTCTACGATTTGTTTCGTCGACCAGACGGGAAAACAAAATTGGGGGCGACTCGATCTTGTAGTCGATCTTCTACTCGATTGTTGGGTCTTCTGGGAGGCCCTCGTCGCCACGGCTGAATTCGCCTCGAAATTATTGTCAGAGCACGCCCCAGGAGAGGTTTGGGGAGTAGCGGTATCGGTACCGTGTGGTTTCTCCAGGCTCGCGCTGGAGTGTCCACGATTTGCACTAGCTGCCCCTGGAGACCTCACGACTGAATCAGACTTGTATGGATTGTCTTGCGTTGGTTTGGCTTTCCATCGATTGGCCTGGCCTGACCCCCGCAAGTCAAAGGGGAAAAGGTTGTGAAGCCCTCCAGGAATGAGGCCCCAACAAGGGCCACGAGGCAGCTTCCCAAAGTGGTGGTTCTTCTCTCCTCCTTCGCATCTTCCTCCTCGGATCTGGCTCGGCTCAGATGGTGGAGGTCGATGGCTCCTGCGACGACACCTGCCCAGAGGTGGGACCGAGGGGAACATGCAGGGAGCAGCAGTGGGGGCAATACTAGAGCAGCAGGGGCGCCGACGCCACGACGTCGCGCCCACTGTTCGACACCGCGCCGCCCTCCCTGGCCAGAGCCTTCTCGTGTCCCTCCTTCTCCGCCCCCCTCCCCAGAGGTCCGTTGCATTGTTTTAATGAGTGCGGGGCCCCCGCAAGTCCGACCCATGCCCAGGCGTCGGGTTCACCAGCGGCCCCAGGGCCTGGCGAGGGCCCCAGGAGGCCGGAGACCGAGAACAGCATGCCGCGGTGCGCTGCGCCGTGCAGCCCGGACAATGAAGCCAACGACCACCTGGTCTCCGCAGGAGGGGCTCTGGGCGCGCCCGGGAGTCCGGTCCGCGAGGGCGTGGCTTTGGTGATGTTCGCCGCTCGCGAGAGGAGGGTGGCGCCCACCCGATGAGCCCCTTCAGGGCGCTCGCAGCCGCCGCCCCCGGCGATCGCCGCCGGCGGCGGCGGGAGACACGCTGTGGAGGACTGGGGCGAGGCCCGTGCTCCGGAGGGGGGGGGGAACGGGAGGAGGGAAGGGGAGGAGGCTTATTCCTCCTCCGTGTCCCCCCCCCTCTCCCGCACCACTCTCCTCCTCCTCCTCCTCCTCCTCCTCCTCCTCCTCCTCCTTCTTTTCCTCCTCCTCCTCCTCCTCCTCCTCCTCCTGCCTCCTTCCGCCCCTCCTCTTCTTTCTCCTCCTCGTCGTCGTCCTCCTCCTCCTCCTCCTCATCCTCCACCTCCTCCTCCAGCCCTCTCCCTCATAGATATAACTTCACCCCGTCGCGCTCCACCAAGCGTGTTGGTAGGGCGGGCAGAGTTTCGCTGCGACTGCCTCACCATCTATGATCCTGAAAGTTTGGAACGGCTTCACGGATAGAGGGCGGGTGGTTTGCAAAAGGTGGTTCTCGCGTTAGCGCCGCGCACAGTCGTATAAGTATTGCAACAGTCTCCAGGATGGAGGGCGGGTGGTTTTCAACGCCGCGCGCATCTGATTTAAGGCTTGCAGCAGTTTCGAGGACAGAGGGTTGGTGGTTGCAACACGTGGTTCTCGCCGTCGCGCCGCGCACCTTCGTTTCCAAAGTTTGCAGCAGCTTCAAGAATGAAGGGTGAGTGCATTAAACATTCGCAACAGTCAAGTTGATTCGTAGCGCCGAGGTCCCAGTCATGGTGTCTTGGCATGATTGGGGCTTCTCAGACGGTTGTTTTCTAATGAGCCACTTCCGCAATGAAAGTAAATTGTTGTAGGGAACTATGAAGAGCAACCTCGGACGGAGGGTGCATTGCGACATGGTTGGTGCGTCTTGGGTTTACACTGGTCCTCATTATCCTTCTCCTCCTTCCTCTTCCTCCTCCTCCTCCTCCTCCTCCTTCTCCTTCCGCACCTTCTGTTTTGTTACACGTGTGGGAGGCCTTCCGAGCTGTAAGAGGACGGCGCGCCGGCGCGGGATCCTTCCAGCAAGGGGCGGGAACAAAGAACTCCGACGCATTTGCTCGCCTAGCTCATCCTAACACCGCCTTCGAGCTTGGCCCGCACAGATCTCCTGGGGGCGGGGTCGCTCGTCGTCGGTTCGGCCCGAGGTGGTCGGGGACTCGGCGCGACGAGGAGCGGGCGCGCGGCCCCTCGCACTGTCTTTGTTCGGCAGGCGTTTGTCTGGCAGACCCGTGCCAGTGCCCCGGCCTGGACGGGGGAAAGGGCACGCAGGCTGGGCCGTTTGCCCAGCGACTCCCACGAGGAGCCTGGCTCGGAGAATGCAGTCGGCCTTGATCAGTAGGTCGACCCTGCCAAATCAAGGGCACCCTCGTGTCCTGTGCCTCGCGACCCATGCCTCCTGCAGTCCAATGGCGCTGTGGCCCTCGGAAGGGTCTTGTGTCCTGTCGCGTGTCCTGTCCAATCAAGTCCGACTGTAGCCCCCATGGAGCTGGCACGCGCCCCCTGTCGTGGCCCCTCGAGGGGGAGCGAACCCGATCCAGGGTGACAATATGTGTGCCTCCGGTGCGGGAGCGTCCCGCTTTTTGGGGGGAGGCGAAGGACGTCTGACCTCTCCCCTATCCTTCCCCTTGTGGCTGTCCGATCCTCCTGCGCCTCCTCCTCATCCTCCTCCTCTTCCTCCTCCTCCTTCTCTCCCTGTCCTCTCCCTTCATCCGTGTTCTGCCCCTCCTTGCCTCGTACTAGTAACCGTCTTGGCTCACACCCAGGGTCGCAGGCCGCCTCCTCGCGCGCCGCCGCTGGGCCGATGCCGGGTACGCTGAAGGGTGAAAGCTTGGCGGCGCTGGAGGCCTCGCGCGGGGCGCTGCTGGCCGTCCACGCGGCCGCTGGGCTCGCAGCCGCCTCGGGGCGGCGGCCCGCAGCGCGCTTGGTGCGTGCGGCGGAGGGCCTGCTTCGCACGGCGATCGCGCAGCTGGGCGCGCCACCCGCCAACCTCGAGCCAGCGGCCGATGCGGGCCCCACGACGGCGCAGCGACGCCGTCGCCCGCGCGGACGTGGCCGTGTACATGGTGGTGGAGATGCGGGCCCAGACCACGAAGGCGACGTCAAGATGGAGCAGGACGAGAAGGAGGCAGCTGGCGTGGCGGCGGCAAAGGGGGCTGCCGTCGACAGCGAGCTGATGCTGGCCGACGAGTGGGCGGACGCGCTCCCTGTGCAGCGCTCGCGCCCTCCGCGCAGCATGGGCCTCGGCAAGGGCAAGGACAAGAACAAAGGCATGGGCGACGAGGACGCGTACAAGGACACGGACTCCTTGGAGGAGCTCCGGGGGAAGATCGCGCGCCTCAAGACTGCCGTGGGCCTCACCTCCGTCGGGGAGTTCGAGAACTCCGATAACCCCCTGGTGCTCAAGAACATCATCGGTAACCTCATCGCCTTCAAGAAGGCAGGGATCGTGGTTGGTGCTCGTCGAGGCGTAGGGGCAGCGGGCTGAGTGGCCCTTCCTCACTCCGCTAGGGCTCTCCGAGATCGGGGAGCAGGACGGCGGCATCGACAAGGCCGCCGTGCGCAACGCCATCGTCGTCGCGGTTGTGGCGAACAAGGGTGGCCCAAGGTTGCAGTTGAAGTGCCCCTTCAACCAGTTCTTGCTCCTCTTCTGAGGAGGCGGGCCAGGCGGCCGAACCCTGACTTCAGGGCTTTCTTTCTTTCTTTCTTTCCTTGCCTCGTGCTGAAGTGGCACAGGCGGAGGCCGATCACTGGAAGCAGGCGTACGTAACTGTAGTTGGCCAAGGAACCTTCAGGCTTGGGGTTAAAGTCGCCTCGGCCAACCCTTGGCCCCCTTCCTGTAGCACGTGATAGCCCTCCTCCTCCTCCTTCTTCTCCTCCTCCTCACCTTTCCGAGTCGGGGGAAAGCAGGGGGCGAATGGAGCGGGATAGGATGCGCGGAGTGCGGAGACGAGCGGCGGTTTCTCCCTCACTCATTGTGGCGGCCGCCTCCTGACGCACACGGCCCAGGGCAGCCAGAGCTTTGGCCGCCATCGGAATGGGTCACCCCCATTACGCACGGTGCTGTACACATGCTCTCTGCGTGGCCCTGCTTCGAAGAGAAGCTGGCACGTTTCCCACGGGCAGGGCACAGCGTTGTAGTGAACCCAGTTTTGGGCGCGTGGACCACCTCTTACAGGTTGCCAGTGGCCACTCTGCCCTGCCTCTTCGGGTGTCCAGGGTAGCGAAACGACCCGGCACACTATTGTCACTGTGGCTCGCTCTGGAAGTTGGTGCCCCCATTTGGTCCTGATCCGCTCCTTGCAAAATCCCTGTCAGAGCGACTAGGGTACGTGCCTGCAGAGCTGTACGATGACACCGTCACTCGTTTGGCGCTCCTTGCCCACACAGAAAGATTTGAGACGCGACCTTCACAATCGCGGTCGCGGAGGGATCGGAGATGCAGCGACGGATCGGGCAGCTTTGAGATCCGGTCGCACCCAGCTTGTTCTCGCAACGCCAAGGGTCAGGTTCATTCAATTCGGCCGCCGCGCCCCCGTGTACTTCATCATCCGCCCGTGGATGGGCTCTCGGCGCCACGCGGCCTCCTCCTCCCCTTGCCAGCGACCTCGCTGGAAGGGGAGGAGGAGCATCGAATAGCAGTCAGGACGGAGGCACACGTGCCGCAGATCCGTGCGGCTTTCCGAGGTCAGCGTTGGGCCCCCCTGGCGGCCCCTCTGGCGCCGCCCTGGCGCGCGGAGCGCGCCCGGGAGAGGGGCCAATTGCCGACCCAAGACACCTAGGCGGACCTCCAGCAGGGCATGCTACGCCTAGGTTATGACCCTGGAGAAGACTCCTACGTTCACCTCCTGCTCCTTCTTCTCCTCCCTTTCCTCCTCCTCCTCCTCCTCCTCATCCTCCTCCTCCTCCTCCTCCTCCCTGTCCTGCTGAACTGAGATCAGACAGTGGTGTTGAAACCATGCAGTTCTTACGGCGAGATAGAGGACATAGAGCATTGCTGACCCTACAAAAAAGGCGCGCGGAGGGATGAAGGAGAAGACAGCGATGGTTCCTGGTTCCTCCTCATGGTCTCCCTTCCCTTTTGGCAGCGCTGGTAGCGCGGTCGCAGCGGTGGGATCGCAGTAGAGAGACGTTGCAGGGTGGTGCGCAAGTTTAGGAGAGGATGCAATGGAGGATGCAGGAGGAGGAGGAGGCAGGAAGAGGGGGAGGCAGGAGGGAGGAGGCGGAGGCACGTGGGGATGTAGGTGAGATAGCGCCTCGAAGCCAGTTCACATCGGCGTGTCTAGTCGGCCGCCCGCCTCGGAGCCCGACGCGTGGTCGAAGGCCTCCGAGGCCTTGCCCCCCATGTCTTTCGCGCGGAGGCGCTCCTTAGGGCAGGCCGCAGTCAGGGTCCAAGTCTCTTGGGCCAAAGTTCTCTTACCCGAGGCCGTGGTTGTATTGCCCCCCCAGTGCTGACATCCACCTGGGATCGCATCTGGCAACCTCCGACTATCCTTCCTCCTCGGCATCGGGGTTGAAGCCGCCGTTCGTCAAGGAACCCAGAGGTCACCCGAGGCCTGTGCGGGCGCACAGAGGGCAAACAAACATGCGGTGCTCGTCCCGAAACCTCCTCCTTCTCGTCCTCGCTCCCGTCCTTGACGTGGTCCTCGTCCTCCTCCTTGTCCTCGTTTCCTCCCCCTTGGCGCGCCTCTTCCCCGCTGCGGCTCCTGGATCCAGGGTGGTGTCCGTGACTCGGTCGCCTCTCTGCTGCTCTGCAGCCTCCTCCTCAGCCTGCAGCGCCTCGTGCCATCATAGAGCCGCCACACCTCTCTGACCCATCCCCCGGGCCCGGCTTCGGACCCCGTGCCGTGTCCTGGACGGCCCCCGGGGACCCGACGTCAGGGGAAGAGCTGTACCATCGAGGTCGGTTCGGGGAGGGTACCCTGGTGTTCTCCGTGCTTGTTAGATGCTCTAGTGCATCCTGGGGGGGATCGACGAATGTACTCCAGTTCGGCCGGCGGAGCGTCTCGTGTTCTTGCAGGATGCTATGATGTCCTAGGTCCGGTTGTAGGCTCAAGGGGGGGGGCATCGACTCCAGTCGCATCGCCGACAGGGGCCTGATAGCGGGGGCCTGATGTCATGAAGCACGATACATCCCCAAACCTTGATAGTACGTAACACCCCGTAGATGCGGATAAGAGTGAGGGGGCGGTGGGGGCGTCGGCAGTCTGCGAGACTCTGGAGAAGCCACACGCAGGCGCCAAAGTTTCCCAAATTATACAAAGAGCCCGCCGCATGTGCCGATGTTATCTTCCAACCAATGTGGATCGGTCGCGGGTGGGTCGCGCGTGGGTCGCGGGGTGGGTCGCGATTTGGTCGCGGGTGGGTCGCGGGGTGAGTTGCGGGTGGGTCGTGGGGTGGGTCGCGGTGTGGGTCGCGCGTGGGTCGCGGGGTGGGTCGCGGGGTAGGTCGCGGGTGAGTCGCGGGGTGAGTTGCGGGTGGGTCGTGGGGTGGGTCGCGCGTGGGTCGCGGGGTGGGTCGCGGGGTGGGTCGCGGGGTGGATCGCGGGTGGGTCGCGTGGGGGGACGACGACAACAAGCAACAACAACAACGCAACAAGAAGAATCCTCACAAAGGATTCTCACTTCAGCCACGCACCCATGGACACTGAATGACCGTTCGGCCCCCTCACTCTGACAACAAGTTCGTGGCCTAACTAAGGCCCGCTGCCTCTAGTGAGATCCCTAAACGTACGGGTGGTTTTGTCTGACACATCCGCAACACAACGACGCCCATCCCTAATGTGTTTGGTCGTCTTGGCTTAGGTCGTTTCTCAAAGGATATGTAATATTTCATTGCGTATCATGGTCATGTTTTTATTATTCAAACCGCCCTGGGCGTTGTTTCTGCTGTTTCGCATTCTGGGCCTCTGACAAGCTGAAAGCGCAACAAAAAAAACACGCGACGTTGTGTTATCGTTTTCAGCTATGTGCTTGTCTATTTTTCAGGGCCGCCGCCGTGGATCATCGTGCCTGAGCGTTGTTTGCCTTCTAGTCGAAGGCTGTGTCTTGTCTTCGCTCCCGCCTTTTACCCGCAGTTACGCGTAATGATTCGTACTACGGCGGCGGCACTAGATAAGGAACGTCCTCCTGGGGCCTACACCCTGGCGCATTCCTCATTGTTTCAAGGCGAGGTGGGTGGCCAACCTTTCGCCGCCCATCGGTCTCGAGACCCTGGGTTCCTTATCGACGGTATCTTTATCCCATGCCCTCACCGTAGCCCACCCCGCCCAGGATGGATGGTGCGGCTCAGCAATCGGGGGCTCCTCGTCGCCACCTCGTCGCTGCCCCCCAGCCAAGGACCTCCAGAGGCAAGGCACGATGACAATCTGGCCGCCTCCACTTGGCAGCGCTCGGACGTGTGCGTTGATTGTTATCCTTGGCGAGTGCCCTCTCAGGAGCATCCTCGATCTTTTTGTTTTTCAGAACCAAAAATTACACCATATGTATGTATGCATGCATGCATGCATGTATGTATGTATGTGTGTATGTGTGTATGTATGTATGTATGTATGTATGTATGTAGGTAGGTAGGTAGGTAGGTAGGTAGGTAGGTAGGTCGGTAGGTAGGTAGGTAGGTAGGTATGTAGGTAGGTATGTATGTATGTATATATGTGTATGTGTATGTATGTATGTAATGTATGTATGTATGTAACTATGTATGCATGTGTGTATGCATACATGTATGCATGTATGTATGTATGTATGTATGTATGTATGTGTGTATGTATGTATGTGTGTATGTATGTGTATAGGTGTGTATGTATGTATGTATGTATGTATGTGTGCATGTATGTATGCATGCGTGTGTTGTATGTATGTATGTATGTATGTATGTATGTATGTATGTATGTATGTATGTATGTATGTATGTATGTATGTGTGTATGTGTGTATGTGTGTATGTGTGTATGTGTATGTATGTATGTGTATGTGTATGTATGCATGTATGTATGTATGTATGGATGTATGGATGTATGGATGTATGGATGTATGTATGTGTGGTTGTGTGTATGTGTGTATGTCATGTATGTATATATGTATGTATGTATGTATGCATGCATGCATGCATGCATGCATGCACGCATGCATGCATACATGCATGTATGCATGTATGTATGTATGCATGTATGTATGTATGTATGCATTCACACATATATAACTGTGTGTATCTATATGTTGCTGTTTTTATATAAAAAACGTACACGAAGCAGACAAGTGCACGGGGAATGGACGTCCGACCGATGGCAAGCAATGTGGTCGGTCGCCGGATTGCTGGCGTCGGAGAGGGGGGATCAGGGGCAACATTAGGGCGGGATAGGCACAGGGGGGGACGCATCGAGCCCCAGTCGCCCATAGATCGCCGATAGGGGCGCGATAGCCCCAACGAGCCCAGGACCGTGCGGAATCACCATCGGGGGCCTCTGGCCGATCTATCGGTGATGTATCGCCGATTCCAGGTCGATGTGCCCCCCCCCTGTGGCAGTCCCCACCCTGTCGCTGCCACTCTCAGAGGGGGGTGGGAACTAGGGGGTGTGGAGAATCAATGCCGGGGCATGCAGTCTGCCAGATGTAATGGCCTCTCTCCTTTTTTCAACATGGCCCCCCCATCGTCCCCCGCGCACGTGCCTCGGGCCATGATGCGCTAACCCGCATCGTCATGGCCCCCTTCTTCGGCGCACACGAAACCAGCAGCTTCGATCTTTTTGGAGCGCCACACGGGTGGGTCCTCGGCCGATGGTGCTTCAGGTCGCCGTCATCGAGGAGCCCCTGGAGCCCCCGGCCACAATCGTCGAGGCCACCGCGAGCGCCGCCGAGCAGCCGGCGGCGGGGCCGCGCAGGCGCGAGGCGTTGAGGCGTTCGGCGGGGCTTTGGGCAGGGCGCAGGCGATCGACGATCTGCGTCGATCGGCGATCCGCGGTGGCGGCGATCGACGATTGACGACGACGATCGGCGGCGATCTTTCAGAGACGATGGAAGTCGACGGGATCGTCGACGATCGGCGACGACCAGCGGCGGCGGCGACGGCGACGAGGGCGAAAGAAGATGGCGTCCGACGACGATCGACAATCGACGAAGGTCGACCAAGGTCGACGACGACGACGACGACAACTGCGGAGGCTGCGGCGGCAGCAGCGGTGGAGGCGGCGGCGGCGGCTGCGGCAGCGGCGACGAGGGTCGAGATTCGAGGGCCGAGGATCGATGTGCAGTAATCGATGCTGGTATTCTGATTGTTTTGGGGTTTGGGGGCTGTCCCTGCGGTTCGGAAGGCTCCGGTGGACTCCGCGGAGACATCCGAATGATTGTTGGAGCGCTCGTTTGGCCATAATGTTTGGGCCTCCCTTGGGGAGTTCGTTGGCGATACTGGGGAATGTTCGAGGCATCAGCCCATCAGAAGCACAAGGGGCCAGGAGTGCAACATCACGCAAACACGTCATGTGTCTTGGCATGAGTTTGGCCTCGCGGGTCCAACTTGGCGATCCTGCGCCACTTTGAAGGCCACTTTCTTAGCATCTGGAGCGACACTGCAGACAACTTGTTCGCAGGTGTGCATTCCTAACCCCTTGGGCCCCCCAGTCCAGGTCCTGAGGAGGGGTAGTGGCCGCCTTATAAACAGAAACGCCACAGGCTGTCTCGCTCACTCCCACCCGCCCATCATGTAAGAAGCACCTGACGCACAGCATATGCAGAGGTCTTCTTCGGATGAGCAGCCAATGGCAACCATGACAGACGCTAGATGCGCGACGCTCGCGAGGTGCGCCACGCGTACCTACCATGTGCGCGACATGCTACGCGCAAAGAGCGCCCCGGGTACGTTAGCGCACGTGACAGCACACGTCGGGCAATATGTCGACACCGCCACGGCCCTTGCCAACAACCAGTGCAAAATTGTGGCGATGGTGCAAGATGGCGGCGATGGCGTGCGCACCCCCAATACGTTTGGACTTGCGTTGGTACGGATAGTTGGCAAGCGCCCAGCGGACAAATATCGGTGGACAGCGAGGGGGGGAAATGAGAAGGATGATGCCTTCTCAGAAGGCGGCGGGACCTCTCAGACGCCCTCGCGCCTTCTGAGAGGTTTTCTTTGTCTCCGGGGAGGGCCTGGGAAACCTCTCATGAGGCCTGGGGACTCCCGAGCCTCCTGCAAACGCCCGCCCCTTCTCACTTCCCCCCGAGCACCCCGCCGATAGGAGCCGTGCGCATGGTTCCTGGTTGGCGGTCAGTCAAAGGGGGGAAGGCGGTGTTTATTGAGAAAGTACAGTGGCAAATCCTTCCCAAGAAGGGCAGAAGGGTGTGGGCGGAAGAGTCGGAACCCTCAGCCGCATGCGCCCAGAGGGACTCTGCGATAGCGAGCTCTCGTGACGCGGGCTGCCGCGGCTTCGACCCATCGGCCGACCGCCTCCCAGAGGCCGGACGTTCATCCCAAGCCGCTCCTGGATTGGCGCTCCGAGGACGAAGGTCGCCCAGAAGCAGCCTTTGGTGGCTTCCGCTGCCCGGCCCAGCTCGGAGGGGGGGAGAGGGGGCGAGCAGGGAAGCGGGGAGGGAAGCAGGGGCAGGAGAAGCGGAGGGGAGCGGGCATGCGGCGGGCCGAGCGGGGAGGGAGAGCGCAGGGGGAGCGAGGGAGCCGGGAGGGCCTGCCGGCGGCACCCTTCCAGGAGCGGCCCGTCGCCGGCGGCACCCTTCCAGGAGTGGCCCGTCGCTGGCAGTGACCTTTGGCGAGTGACCGCTGGGGGGCGCGGCGGGGGGGGGTGGGGAGGGCGGAGCCCGAGCGCAGCGGGCCGCTGCCGTCGCCGCGCGCCCGGCGTCGGTCGGCAGGCCGCGCACCCTGCGGGCCACCGCCTGCGGCCCAGAGGGCCGCCGCGGCCTCTGCGCCTGCGCGTGGCCGCCCCAAAGGGGGGCGGGGGCGGAGAGGCACGGGGAGCCAGCCCTCGCCCGCAGGCGTGCGCGGTGGTACCGCGCGGCCAACCGGGGCCCCGCCCGCGCCGCCCGTCCGGAGTACGCGGCCTTCGACCCGTCCGAGGCGCGCCGTTCGACGGCGAGCGGCGGCGTGGGCGCTGACGGCGTAGGCGCTGAGGGCGACGGCGGCGGCAGCCTCGGCCGTGCGAGGTCGGCGGCGGCGGCTTGGGACGGCGGCGGCTGCAGCATCGTGGATGCACCCTCCCTCTTTCTTGTCTTCCACTCAGCCAACTCCTCGTCCCCGTCTGCGCCCTCGTTGCGTCGCACCCCCTCATGTTCTTTTTCCCCTCCTGTTCCTTTCTACCCTCCTCCTCCTCCTCCTCCTCCTCCTCCTCCTCCTCCTTCCCTCCTCCTCCTCCTCCTCCTCCTCCTCCCTCCTCCTCCCTCCTCCTCCTCCTCCTCCTCCTCCTCCTCCTCCCCCCCGTATCTCCAATCTCCCTACCCCCCCTCCCCGGTTCTCCCCTCCACCCTCGTCCTCCTTCTCCTCCTCCTCCTCCTCCTCCTCCCGTCTCTCCTCATGTTCCCCCTCCTGCTCCATCTTCCCCCCGTCTCCCAATCTCGGACCTCGATCGCCGCCGTCGTGGTCGTCCTCGCCGTCATCGCCGCCCTCATCCTCTCCATCATCCTCGCCGCCACACCGTCCTCGTAATCGTCCTCCCCGTGGTCGTCCTCGTCGCCCCTGTCACCTGAGGTCCGACGTTGCGAAAAAGTCAGCATCGTAACAACGAAACGACCGTATCCCTAGGTACCATCTTTCTGCGCCATTTTTCCAGCCATATCGGAGGGCCCCTGGGTCCGAAAAAAAGCAAAATCGCCCGTCGTCAAAACAAATTGGGCGCCAAGATCTCGGGGCCGTCCTCGCCCTCGTCGTGCCGCCGCCGTGGCGTCGGGCCTGCCCGACCGCCGCCACCCCCTGTCTGCACTGCGCCGTCGCGCCCTTTTGTTCCTCCTCACCCTCGCTCTCCACGTCTCGCCTCCTGTCCGACTACCACGACCCCCATGTCTCCTCGCCTCTTCACGTCTCCCCCATGTCCGGCCCACACTGGGCCCCAAACGTGTTCCAGATCCAGTCCAGATCCGGCCCAACTCGGTTGGGGGGCGCGTAAGGAGGGGACGATCGATGGGTGAGCATCGGGGTTGCAGAAAAGGGGTCCTTCGGGGCCCTCCTCAAGGGGCCCGGGCCACCGAAGGGGGCCTTGAGGGCCCGAAAGGGGCACCGTTCTCCCCCCCCCTCCTGGATCGTACAGGCCGGCATCGTCCCCTTTTCGCCCACGCGCTCCGGCGTATGGCTTCACTGACTGACCCTCCTGGATCGCCCCCCCGCGAATTCGCGCCCACGTCAGTCGGGCAGCGAAGGGGGCCGCACGGGCGCCCCACGGGACGAGCACTGGACCGAGCCTGGACTGCTCCGTCGCCGCCGGCCCCCCCCCTCTTCCACCCAGGCGCTGGCGCGCGGCCGCCGCGGCGGGCTGGTGGCGGACGCCGTGGCGGGCCTGGGCGGGCTCTGGCGGCAGGACGGCGGCGCGCCCCGAGGCGCGCCGCCGCCGCCGGCGACGGGGGGGGCGCCGGGGCGTGGCCGACTACACGTAAGAGTGACCTTTCGCCAGAGTGACCTCTGGTGCGGGCACAGTTGGGTCTCCCGATCACTGGTTCCGATGCGATAGTAGCGTCTTGCGCGCCTGAGTTTGGTCCTCCCGCGGCCCCCCAAAAGCCGCGCACCAAAGGTCACTCTTACCCAGGGTCACTCTTGCGTGTAGCCGACGTGGAGGGGTCGAGGAGGGGGCACGCCCCGAGGCCCTGGCGCTGCAATTGTTCCGAGCCGCGCGGCCTCGCCTTGCGCCGGGCCCTGGGGCCCTCAGAGATGGATCCGGCTGGAGAAGTGACGCAGGAAGAGTTGGTCCTGGGCTCCGGTCGTGATGTTTCACGATGTTGCATTTTTGTTGCGACGTCGGATCTCAGGGGATGGGGCATTGGTTGCGGGAGGCAATGATACCAATATCGCTACGGTCGGACCGAGGTACAAGATCGATATCGGTTCGGTGACGGTGCCCTGATGTGTTTCGTGCTTTTTGGATGTTCTTAGGCATCCTGGGGAGAGTGCCCTCGAGTGCTCTTCAGTTTGGTCGGCGGAGAGTCTGATGTTCTTGAAGGACGTTTTTCTGTCCTAGGTTCGGCCGTACTCCAATTGGCGTAATTATTGGGAAGGCCGTGCGGCCAGTGTCGCCGACCCCCCTGAGCGCTAGGAAGATGCCGAGGAGGAGGGAGGACGAGGAGGAGGAGGAGGAGCAGGAGGAGGAAGAGGAGAATGAGGAGGAGTAGGAGGGTGTGTGAGGGGAGCGCGGGAACGGGGGATAGCAGAGATAGCAGGAGGACGGAGGGGAGGTCGGGAATAGGAGGTCGGGAATAGAAGCAGAAGTCTTCTCCCGGACACCGATGGGGGGCGGTGGTCACATGCCCCAGGATCAAGATGCCGATATTGCTACTATGGATGGCGTATGTATCAAGGGGGGGATGATTGACTTTCCGGTCGAGCTTGCCCCACCCCCCTCCCCTCCCTTCTCTTTCTCCCCTTCCTCCTCCTCATCCTCATCATCTCATCCTCCTCCTTTTCCTTCTTCTCCTCCTCCTCTTCCTTAATCCGTAAGGGCTTCGCCCCCTGCCGCCGGCCCCCTCTCTCGGAGAATGGGCCATGGAAGAGCTAAGTCATGAGGCTTTGGCGCTGTCGTGCAGCAGTATCGGAACTTCATGGAGGCCGATTCGCAATCGGCAAAACCGACTGATCACAAGAGGGGTTACCACACAGGGCGATTGGTAAGACGTGTATGGTTTACGAGCTTGGTTACCACACCTTGGGATTAAAGGGCCGAGGGAGTACTCGCAGTTTGGGTTACCACGCCTTGCGATGGATGTGCGTGAGAGGGTGGCACCGAATTTCAGAAATGTGCCAAATCCACTGTGTTTTTGGACCCTGACCCCGCGGATCTGCGTGAGGGGTGGCACCGAATTTCAGAAATGTGGCAAATCCCTGTGTTTTTGGACCCTGACCCCGCGGATCTGCGTGAGGGGTGGCACCGAATTTCAGAAATGTGGCAAATCCAATGTGTTTTTGGACCCTGACCCCGCGGATCTGCGTGAGGGGTGGCACCGAATTTCAGAAATGTGGCAAATCCCTTGTGTTTTTGGACCCTGACCCCGCGGATCTGCGTGAGGGGTGGCACCGAATTTCAGAAATGTGGCAAATCCCTTGTGTTTTTGGACCCTGACCCCGCGGATCTGCGTGAGGGGTGTCGATTTTGAGCCCCCCCAGCAATTCAGACAACGCGCCCAGGTGGTGCTAAAAATCTGGTTTGGGCCTCCCTCCCCTCGCGCGGTCAATCAACTAGTTACAGTAACCAGCAAGAAGCAGAACTGTAACACTGGAAACTACAAACTACAACTGGTACAGGAAACTGCGAATCACGGGCCTACAGCCTGGTGGCCCCACAAGGGGGCCGGCGGATATCCTTCTTCTCCCCCTTTCTTACTCGTCGCCTCCCTCCTTCTCCTCCTTCTCCTCCTACGTCCAACCCCCCATGCACCCCTTCCAACAACACGTCCCCCCCCGCGGATACAAAGGGGGCGATTCTTGTCCCTTCCAGCGCATGCATCAGGGGAGGAGAAGGTGCCGATATCGATAGTCCTTCCCCGTCGCCAGGCCCGGATCTGCCCCGGCATCCTGGGGGCCATAGATCTATGATAGAGTAGCGTTGTCGGCATCCCTTTGCTCCTTCGATGGATGGGTCGAGGTGTCGAGGGATCCAGGATGGAGACTCGGGGGCGTCGAGGTGTCGAGGCGTCGTGGCGTCGAGGCGTCGAGGCGTCGAGGCGTCGAGGGTGGAGATTCGAGGCGTCGAGGTGTCGAGGCGTCGAGGCGTCGAGGGTGGAGGTTCGAGGCGTCGAGGTTCGAGGGGTCGAGGCGTCGAGGGTGTCGAGGGGTGCAGGCTCGAGGGGTCGGGGTGTCGAGGGTTGGCGTTCGAGGACAGAGGCGCTTTCAGGGGCGCCCGTGGGCCTTTGGGAGCCTCTCGGGGCCCCTGGGGGCCGCCCTGGAGGTCGCAGACGGCCGTCGCCAGTCGTCGCCGTCGGCGCTCGGCGTCCGTAGTCGGTCGTCTGCCGCCGTTCGTCGTCGTCGTCGTTGTCATTCGTTCTCCGTCGTTTTCGTCGTCGTCGTCATCGTCATTCATGGGTGCTGCCAGGTGTGCAGACAAAATCGGGTTGAGGTCGTGGCCCCCAGCATTCGGCATCTGATGACTAGTTAACAAGTGGTCCAGGTGAGTGTCGCAACGCCGCGACGCATTAATAGGCGGTGCCCCCCTTGCAGATGCGGATAGGAACGAGGGGCTGTTCTGGAGTCCCAGCGCCCTGCTCATGGCAGTGGTGCCCTACGCACGTCACGCCCACTGATTGCATGTTTGCCATGGTTGTGACGTCCCCTCGTAATCAATCGCCTACAGTCAACGCGCCTAGTAAGGACGCGCGCCTTCATCTAGAATACCCTTGTGTCCTTGCCTCTGCGACCCGTCCTTTGTCGTTTTCACTGGTCGCCCGCCGCCCAAACACTCCCAACCTCGGCCTCCGAGGATCTTGCGTCCTCACCACCCGTCCTCAATATAGCTTCTGGGTTGTAATCCCAAGCCTCGGGCGTCCGGATGTGTTCATGCATTGGGCTCGGGGGTTTTCCCGAGCATTTTCTTTGGGTGCAGGGCAAGGGGTGAAATCTGAAATGCTGCTTCGATGGATTCTCGAGGCTTGAACCTGCAAAGGGCGAACCACATTGCGGATCGATTTTCGAGGTGCAAAAGTCCTTATCGATCTCGCCCCGAGCCCTCCACCCTAAGAACATGCTCAGTTTTCGAACCCATAGTTCGCATGGATATCGCGCCCTTCGGTTGGTTCGTTGGCCGACTCCTGGAGGGCCCGAGACGAGCCTCTCCATCCACCTGTGCCTGGAGGCCTCCCCGGGGGCTCTGGAGGTCTCTGGGGGTGGAGGCCTGGAGCACACATACACACGTCGGTCGTTGAAAGCAGGTATTGTGAAGGCCTTACGGCCGGTGCCGCCGACCCTGAAGGCATTGGCCGTCGATGGCGACGGGATGTGTGATCACAGGAAGAAGCTAAAGGACAACGTGACAGGGTAGGCGGAGGAAGTGTGTGAGGAGGAGGAGGAGGAGGAGACAAACGAAAATGAGATGGAGAAGGTGGCAGAAGACGCTCAGAAGGAGGAGGGAGGTGGTATTCTGACCCAGGGACCCCCCCAGGACGCCCCCCCCCCCCCCCCAAGGACCCCCCCGGGACCCTCCCCAGGACCCCCCCGGGGCCTCCCCCGGGACCCCCAAGAAGATCCCCCCGGTCCCGGGTCAGAATACCATGGTATTCTGACCCAGGATTCCCCCCCAGGCTTCCCCCGGGACCCCCCCCCCCGGCCGGGGAAGGGAACAAAGGGAAGGGGAACCCCTTCGAGTTAATTTATTTTACGCAGGAGGAAGAGATGAAGGAGGAGGAGGACGAGGAGGAGAAGGAGGAGGAGCAGGAGGAGGATGAGGAGGAGGAGGAGGAGGAGGGGGAGACGAACCAGAAGGAGACGGAGAAGGTGGGAAAGGGAAGGAGGCACGGACGAGAAGAACAACCCTTTCCACACGCCGACGGGGTCGGCGCGGATTTCTGAACTCCCAGACCTCAATCTACTCCAAGCGCCTTTCTACTTCAAGAGTCGATCTGCTGTTGCTGTGTTTGGTTATTATTTGGGAGGGTCTGGACCCAATCTACTTTATCCGCCTTCCCACTTCATGCTTTGACCTACGTCTGCCGGCCAGCGTGCATTCAACACATGATTGTCGTGTTTGTCGTTTGGCGTAGCCCGATTTTGATATTCGGGGGAGGGGGGGGGTAGGCCAGGTTTACGTTCGGCCTCCGAGTGCGCAGCCTGTGGCGCACCCGACAGAAGACCGTTCCATGTGGCCGCCGAGGGCGCAACGTGTGGTGGACCTGCGGACAGGCCGTTCCGTGTTCGGCCGCCGAGTGCGCAGCCGATGGCGCAACCACACGTAGCAGGCCGTTTCGTATTCGGCCGCCGAGTGGCCGCCGACTGCGAAACTGGACGCACGACCCAGAGACCTTACGGCTGGTTTCGCCGACCCCGAGAGGATTCCAGGAAGGACGGTAGTGGCGGGGGGAGCGCGAGGGGAGGGTGCGGCAGAGAGGCAGCAAGGGGTCGTGGGGTCAGGGCGCAGCAGGGGCAGAGCGACGAGGGTGCACAGGAGCAGAGGGCGGTGGCAGGGGAACAGGGGGGCAGTCGAAGGGGAGCGAGGGGGCCGCCCAAGTTGATCCCACATGGCCGCAAGCTTTCCAGGGGTCCCATTGGGCCATCTGGGCGCCATCGTGGGTTTGTTTGGGGCCAATTCGAGCTCCCGTGGGTCGTCTGGAGGCCCTCGACAACCTTCCCAAGCATACCGTAAGCAGCCTGGTGATGTAGTGACCGTTCGGCCCATCCCGCCACCTTGCCCGAGTCGTGGACAAGAGGTATCTGGAATACCGTCGGGGGTCTCTCGAGGAGCCTCGTGGGGGATTATTCGGGACCGCTTCGGGGCCTCTTGGGGGCACCTTGATGCCTCCTGAAGGCCTCTCGGAGGCTCTCTTGGGGGGGGGTTGGAGGCCTCTGGGAGATACTGTGTCAATCTTAGAGGGAGGGGTCCAGCGTTCCCCCTCCTCAGTCGTCCTTGGCTCAGAGGGCGTGGGTGGACGCACCCGGGGACGACGCAGCACATCTGGATTCTCGCAGATGTTCGCCGCTGGAGGTGGCCATACCGTCCTGCTCAGAGGCGATGGCACGGCCGTGGCTTGTGGCGACCACAGTGCTGGTCAGTGTGTCCTCCCTGCGCTGGTCGCAGACCTGACCTACGCCCAAGTTGCCGCTGGAGGATTCCACACAGTCCTGCTCAGGAGCGATGGCACCGCCGTTGGCTGCGGCTTGAATGATGACGGTCAGTGCGACCCCCCCGCGCTTGTCGGGGACCTGACCTACTTGCAAATTGCCGCTGGAGAGTACCACACAGTCTTGCTCAGGAGCGATGGCGTAGCCGTGGCCTGCGGCGACAGTGATGATAATGGCTTGTGTGACATCCCGTCGCCGACTTCGGACATGACGTATACGCAAGTTGCCGCTGGAGACAGCCACACGGTTCTGCTCAGGAGCAATGGCACTGCCGTGGCCTGCGGCTGGAATGGTTTTGGTCAGTGCCTCCTCCCACCGCTGGTCGCGGACGCGGCCTACACTCAAGTTGCCGCTGGAGAAGTCCACACAGCGCTGCTCCGGAGCGATGGCACGGCCGTGGCTTGCGGCTGGAATGTTGTTGGCCAGTGCGACCTCCCTGCGTTGGTCGCGGATTTGACTTACACGCAGGTTGCTGCTGGAGGGCGGCACACGGTCCTACTCAGGAGCGATGGCACAGCCGTGGCCTGCGGGGACAATGGTGCTGGTCAGTGTGACATTCCGTCTCCGACCGCGGACCTCACCTACACGCAGGTTGCCGCCGGAAGGCGCCACACGCTCCTGCTCAGGAGCGACGGCACAGCCGTGGCTTGCGGCGACAATCATCATGGTCAGTGCGACCTCCCCGCGCTGGCCGCGGACCTGACCTACACGGCCCACCTGCTCCCATCGTTGCTCCTCCAGGCCTCGTTCGACGGCGGCGCGGCTCGCTTCGCCACCCTCGCCGGCGCGGAGCGCCACGCGACCGCAGCGGGGCCCGGCACCCGCCTCGCGGACGTCTACGGCCAGCTCTTGGTCGCCCACCGCGCGGGCAGGCTGGGCCCCAGAGGGAAGAGCCAACCACGGCATGATCCACAGCTCTCGGAGGGCTGCGCGGCTTTCTCCGGATCGGCGCCGGACCTCCCGTGGCCTGGCGCCGCACGCCATGGGGAGGGGGGGCCCAGCGCCGATCCGAGCAGTCCGCGCGGCCCTGCGAGAAGGCATGGCCATGCAGTCTGCTTGCTCCTCTGCCAGAGCCTGGCGGGTGGACGCCGTGCTGCCCGGGGGCGGGCTGCTCAGCGGCGCCTCGGCCTGGGAGACGGTCGCCGGCGTCCGGGGGCTCTGCCCCTGAGGCGTGCAGGGGACCCCCTCCGCGGAGCCGCGGCCCTGCCTCGGAGGGCGTGCGGGGCCCGTGCCAGAGGGGCCTCGCCGTCGAGCGGATGAGTCGGCTACTCCAGATTTCGTAATAAAGGGAGGGGGGTCTCATTTCGGGGGGGGGTCTCTTCCAGGCTAATTCGGATTATCTTGGAGGGCCTGGGGGGTCTGGGGACGATGTTTTGGAGGGTTCTCCCACGGGGGAGGTCTGAAATGGCTCGTCTTGGAGGGTCCAGACCCCCTCCCTTTTATTACGAAATCTGGAGTACGCGTAAGAGCGACCTTTCCCCAGGGCGACCTTTGGTGCGGGCACGCTGGGGTCTTCAGATAGGTGGCTGAGCGCGATGCGATAGCAGGGGCGTCCGCACTCGAGGTTGCCCCCCCCGCGTTCCCCAACAAACATCCGCGCAGCAAGGGCCACTCTTGCGTGTGTAGCGGCATGGGAACACAGCGGGTGGTGAAGGCCAGCGAGAGGCCAAAGCGAGAGTCTGAGAAAACGGGTGAGCAAAACAGACACACGCACACACAAGCGAACAGCAAGAGGCACGCGCGAACGGAACGCCCGAGACGCTCTCGTCCCCTCCTGCATATCATGCGTGCTCCCACCGCTAGCCCCCTAGCTTGCCTTCAGCTTGAACTAAATAGAGAAGCCCAACAATGCCTCTCCAAAAAAAATCAGACGTCTAGATACTTTAGACTGGCGCTTCTCAGCATTGCCTGTCGATTGGTGTGCATCTCAGTCTCGTAGCTCGCCTACAGCTCGAATGGGGTCGACAAAACGAACATCACCTCTCAAACAAAAATGAAGAATGCAGATCGTGTTCTGGTTGCAGCTCTGGTAGCAGACCGATCCGGCGTCTAGATACTTTAGACTAGCGCGCCCGACCATGTCGTGCCGATGGGCGTGCATCTCAGTTCCGAGGCCCGCCATGCAGCTCCCCGGAGTCCCGAGGCGATCGCCCCCTCCCGCTGCCGGCAGCTGCTGGCCCCGACGTCACCTGCACGCTCCTGCGCCTCGGCTGCCCAGATACAGTCGGGGCCCTGAAGAAGGAACCCTTTTCGTTGGGGAGGGGCTCCGTGCTCCTTGATTGTTTCGCAGCTTGCCTTAGATGTTCCTTAGGTTTTCGATACGAAATCGAAGTTTAACTTTTGGGAAATAGGGGCCTCGTTCCTTATTTAGGGTTCCTTAGGTCAACGCCTCGACTGTAGGCCCGTGTTAAAACACAAGACGTGGCGCCGCCCATTCTGTTCGCGCCACAAGACAAGGGCTCCGCACTGGAGAGCGGCGGTCGTGGCCAACACGGGGCCACACAGCCCCGTTGGGTCACGGGGCCAACACGGGGCCACACCACCCCCGTTGGGTTCCCGAGGGCTCGCCCCGAGGGCACCCGGGAAGGATCGCACGGCATGCCCGGTCACACAACATGCCCGCCAGCACGGGTACGTCACTGCCGCACGGTGGCAGCGCTACCAAATGGACGCGGCCACCCACCGTGCTCAAAGTGCTCGGGTTGACCACGCTCCGTGTCGGTTCGGCACGTGCCGGCGACCGTATCGCGCCCGACCTGCGTCTTAAATCTCCGTGTTGAGTTCCGTGTCAACGCGCTATGGGTTGCGTATTGAGTCTCGGGGCAATTGAGCCTGCTCTGCTGTGTCCGCTCTTACTCCTCTCCCGTCGGCGGGGCTCAGGGAGGGGCTCAGCCAGGGAAGAGCAGCGCGAACCTCCTTCGCCCGAATCGCGCTGAGCTCCACACAGCACCTCCTCTCCCTCCTCCCCGTGCGTATGATGCTGCTGCTGCTCGTCCTCGGACTCCTCATTCATTTGCCTGCGTGCATGTGATGTTGATACTTTCTTCTCAAACTCCCTCCCTCCCTCCCTCCCTCTCCCCTTTTTCCCTGCTCCCCCTACAGATGGGCATGTGCGCATCAATGAAGAGCATTAATATTGTTTGAGATGTTGCCCTAGTTGGCTTCGCAGGTGTGCAGATTTCGCACAGTCCGCCTCGATCTTGGGCACATTCGGGTGCAATCTGGTCGACTCGTGTTTTGCTCCAGCACGTCATCGCGCCCACGAAGACCTTCCAGGAGTTGCACCGTGACCATAGGACAAGGCCTGGGCCCTCCCCCCCCCTCCTGTGAGCGGGCATACGCTTCACACGCCTGCCTACTGCGGCGATCCTCCCCGCCGAGGCCACGCCTCCACGCCATGCAATACTCGGCACGGGCGGGCTCCCCTGGAGGAGCGCGCACGACTCCGGCGCTCGCTTCTCGCTTTTCCCTTCGCTTCGCTGTCCACCCCCTCCCGCCCGGCTGGCCGCGGGCGTGCAGGCGACCTGCGCGTGCGGCGCGCGGAGGGCCTCCGGAGGCCCAGAGAGAGAGAGAGTCAAGAACGCCCCAGAACGTCGATCCTCGGTCCTCCCGATCCTCTCCCCCCCCCTGCTCAGGAGGGGACAAAAACACTTGCACAAGGAATCGTGGATCCCCCAGAAAATATCGGAAAATATGGGAAGTGGGGGGAAGACAGAAACCCAGAAAATATACGAAAATATGGGGAATCGGGTTATTTGTGTGTATTTATTTGTGTCACAGTTCCCTTTCACCTGCGCAAGTTCCCCTGGTCGATCCTCCCCCTCCCTCCCTCCTCGATCCTCGATGCTCCTCCCCCGCAGCACCGCCGGCGCCTGGCGGCGGCACTGCCGGGAGGTCGCCGGCCGAGCTGGACGCGAAGGGAGGGGTGGGCTCGACCAGACGTAGGAGTGACCATTCGCCAGAGGGACTTCTGGTGCTGGCCCAGTGGTCGGGCGGCCTCAACTGACCACCTCACCGGTGCTGGCATGTCCGATCCTGGGCCCAGGATCGGCGTCGGCGTCTTCCTGCCCAAGCCGGGATGGCTTATACACCGATCCTGGGCCCAGAATGGGGCTGGCCAGGATCGGTGAGGTGGTCAGTTGATGTCGCCCAAAATGGGGCCGCCCGATCGCTGAACTCGGGGGGTCACAGAGGGGGAACGGGCCCAGCCGGATGCTCCAGTGGAGCGCGCTTCTTTCTTCCTGGGGCCGTCCGGGGCGATTTTCCCTCCAGCCCCGCCTTTGCCCCTACCCCACCTTTGTGCCCCCCGATGCATGCGAAGCGGTAGCAGTGGCTTGCGCGCCTGGGTGTGGCCACCCCGCGTCCCCCGTCGCGCACGGAAGGTCACTCTTGCCAATAGGGTCGCTCTTACAGTCGGCCCGGATTAGTAGGTCGACCCTGCCAGCTCAAGGGTACCCTTGTGCTTGGTGCCTCGCGGCACGTGCCTCCCTACACTCCTATGGCGATGTGGCCCTCGGAAGGGTCTTGTCTCCTCTCGCGTGCCCTGTCCAATCAAGGCCGACTGTACGTGTGGCCGATGGGTGGGGGGGGGAGGGGGGGGAGGGGAGGGGGGCAGGCCTCGAGGGTCGAGGGCACAGTCCAGACGCTGGAGGAGGGGACCGTTGGGGCCGCCCGCGGGGGTGCGGAGGTGAGCGCGCATCCGCGGGTCGCGCCGCGCGCTCTTCCGGTGGGGCGCCGCTGGCGCGCCCAGGGCGTCCAGGCGCAGCAGAAGCCCGGGAAAGGGCTCCGTCCAGGGCCGAGGCCTCCGAGGCGTTGGGCACGAGCCGTGCACGGCAGGGCTGGAGCTAAGCGGTGTTCTTGCGACCTCGTGGGCCGGTTTCGCTTCGGCTCCGTCGTGCGGTGCGGGCGGACTGAAGACAAGACGAGGGAGAACGAAGACGACACGAGAACGAAGGGCACCGCTCAGGTCCAGCCCTGGTGCACGGCGTTCGGCCCCTGGGGGGGGCCTGGCCAGGCCCAGGGGCCGTCGACAAGCACCGACTTCCCGCGCGCAGCGAAGAAGACGGCGAGTTCGGCGGTCTGGGTCAGGGGGTCGAGGATGGAGGGTCGAGGTGGAGCGTCGAGGACGACGGGTCGAGGATGACGCGCACGCTAGGAGGGTCGAGGATCGAGGATAGAGGTCGAGGATGGAGGTTCGGGGGTTCTTTTGCCTGTCACGGCAAAGTTGGCGACGGACCGTGTTTTACGTTTTCGGCCTTTGCATGGCGCTTCCTGGACAGGGGGCCGTCGGAAAACGGTTTGGGATGAATCGCCGGCCTTGGGGAAGGGATCGAGATCCCAACGGGGGTCCATGTCACGAAAGAAGTGCGTCTGCGAAGGAGAGGGATTCTGATTCTGGGTTCCTGCGGATGCTGGAGGCGTCTGGACCTCTTCGAAGACAAGCGGTTTCCAGATGTCCTCAGTTGACGTGTGTTTGTTTCTCTTGAGCCTCCAGAGGCCTCCAGTGACCCGAGATTGCTACTGGGGCTTATCTTTTCGAGGAGGGCGACGACGAGCCTCGAGGATCGAGGCCGAGTCGAGAGTCGAGGGTCTTCTTGGACGTTTTGACACGTGCTTTCCTTTCCTGGGCCTTGCGAGGCTGGAGGCGCCTGGACCTCTGGAGGGGTCTTGGAGGCGCCCAGGGACAAGCGCCTCGAACGGATGGTCTTCTTTCGATCACGGCATCGTTCTTCGATTTCCGCCCCCGGATGGGGGTGCGCCCCGGGGCAATTAAAAACAGTGGGGGCGTTGGTTAAGGAATGTGCCCAGGAGGCTTCAGACCCCGGAGGGTTCCTTATCTCATGCGGGCGGCGGTGATACCCATGGCCGATCCACGATTGGCTTGCCACTGGCTTCCAGACCCTGGATTCCTTGGTCGAAGGTTTCCTTATCCCATGCCCCAACTGCAGTCTTCCAGTTGGGCGCGTGATGGAGGGAGCGATCAATTGGGGAGCAGCGAGGGCGGCAAAAGGAGGTGTCTCGGGCCCCCCTGTGGGGGGCCCGTTGAGGCCCCAGAGGAGGTCTTGAGGGCCCGAGACGGGCATTGTTCTCCCCCCGCGGCTATGGCCCCCGACCAAGTCGCGCCCAATCCAAGACGACGAGATTGATTTGGGGAAGGGCCGATGATCCTCGGGGCGCGTGTTGGCCCAGTACTCGTCTCACCACCCACCAACCCACCCCAACCCAACCCGAAGGCCCCGATTTGCACCCGAAATTCGGGTCTTCGGGTTGGGTTGGGGTGGTCTGGTAGGCAGTCAGTCTCCGTGTCCAGTTCCACCGACGGCACGCGCCCAACTGGGCCATGCAGTCGGACCGAAGTTGGGGGAGGGTGCCCTAGTGTCCCTCGTGCTTGTTGAATGCTCTTGTGCATCCTGGGGGGGTACCCTCGAATGCTCTTGATGTTGGCCGGCGGAGGGTCTCCTGTTCTTGGAGGAAATGATTCTCCCCCCATGGCCCGACTCTGCTTGTCTCCCTGTCCAGTTCCACCGACAGCACGCACCCAGCCAGCCCACAATTCTGATGCCTGCGCCGCCTCCCCGCCCCCACCGCCCGCACCCACCCAAGCGCGCAAGCCGATGCCCAAGCAAAATTGCATGATGCGCAGACCCCCCCCCAAGACCTCAAACGTATCCGTTTTCATGTCTGAACCAAGAGATTTGCATTCCCAAGTCGAACAGAACACCTTTACTACCCGACGAGTCCACGCTGCTCCCTGCGCGGCCCCAGGAGGTTCCGATCCCTCGCCCCGGGCAAGCTTTTTTCGCCAGCTGGATGCCTTCTCGTCGGCTCCGCGGGCGCAGGCCTCGAGAAAGCGGGCCCAAAAGAGGCCGACGCCTCGGGCGCAGCGCCCAGATCGGACCAGCAAAGCGACAGAAAACGTCGGAGGCGTGTGAAGTGCGACGGACGGGCCGCCTCCACTTATTTTCGGGGGTGGACGGACAGGACCTCCAACAGGACACGTCGATGAGTGGATTGTCCGTTTTCGGTTTTCGAGAGGGCGCCGTGGCCGTTATGTTCCAGGCTTGCGCCCGCTGGGTTTTGGCCGCAGGTCGTTTTCACTAAACCGCGTTTTACTAAAGGGAGGTCTGTCCATCCCCGATATTTCGGGGCCCGGATGTTTGGGTGTCTTTCCTCTCCGCATTTCGGGGGCCCCAGCCGGTGCGGTGACCACACCGTGTGGCGAGTCGGGGGGGGGTTCGAGTTGACCGAACGGTTTCTGGGTTTGGGCAGTGGTTCGAGGCTGTCTAGGGCGATTGGAACTTCCTAGGTCCCAACACCGTGCGGCGACGAACCGTACGGTGAGTTCTTTGTATTTTAGTTGGAAGTGTTCCAGGTTTTCTGGTGCCAGATGATGGGGGCCGGTAGCAGTCGATTGGTGCGGGCAGAGCCGATGGCAGACGATAGCTGTGGTTGCCAGACGATAGCAGCCGATAGTACGGGAGGTCAGCCAAAAAGGCCGCATAAGGTGAACTGATTTGCTCAATCCTTGTCGGTTATCGGTTGCTGCCGGGTGCTGTCGATTGCTCCCGTTGTTAGGTGTTTGTTTTCGTCAACGATTGTCTCCTTTTTGGTTTCTACCGCCTGATATCGTCTGCTATCCGTTGTAGTCGTCCACTATCGGCTGGTAATGTCTGCGATCTTCTGCTATCGGTTGCTATCGTTTGTTATCGGTTGCTATCGTCTGATATCGTCTGCTATCGGCTGATCTCGTCTGCTATTGCCTGCGCTCTCGTCTGCTATATGCTGCAATCCTCTGCTATTGTCTGTTATCTTCTGCTGCCCGCTGCTCCCGTCTGTTATCGTCTGCTTGTGCCGGCTAACGTCCGTTCTCGTCTGACTTTGTTTGTTGCCGGTTCTTATCATATGTTATCGTCGGTTATTGTCTCTTATCGGCTGCAACCGTCCGATATCGTCTGCTATCGTCTGTTGCCGGTTGCTATCGTTTGTTATCGGCCAAGATCGTTTGTTGTTATTGGTTGTTGTTCTTGTTTGTTGTTAATGTTTGTTGCTATTGTCTGCTATGGTCTGCTGCCAGCTGCTATCGTCTGGTATTGGTTTGTGTCGTTTGTTATTGTTTGACAACGGTTGTTGTCGTCAGATATCGTCTGCAATCGGTTGCTGCTGGCTGTTCCTGGTTGCAGTCGGCTCTTATCGGCTTGTATCGGCTCCTGGCGATGGCTATCGGTTGCAGTCGGGTTTTGTTGCCAACTCCTGTCGGCTACTGCCGCCGCATGCTCTAGGGCTCCGTGCCAGTCGAGTCCGAGCGATTCCAGTGCGAGCGAGTTCAGTCAGTGCGGATTCGCGCCCGCTTGTTCAGAAACGATCCCCCAGCGAGTAGAACTGATCAGGGAAGCAGTGCAATACGTAGTGGAATTGGGATGGAGGGGAGCCTCTACGTCGTCTACATGACAGCGCTGCCACATGAGAATGAGCATGGCCCCCAAAGCAGACGCTGGCAGCCGATAGCAGACAATAGCAGCATGCTTCAGACGATAGTGACGATAGCGGACGATAGCAGACGATAGCGACCGATAGCAGACGATAGTGATTGTTTACTTCATTGGTTTGCCGATCGGCGTGGGCCCCCGCACCCCCTCCCACCCCTGGAGTAGATCTTGGCTGTTCTTGGCGCCTGTTTTCATGAAGGCGGAGACTCCCCTCAGGATGCATTGCTGCCAACAGTCGCAGTAAGCAGAGCTCTGGAGCCAGATCCCCCCCCCTCCCTCCCCCTTTCCGCCCAATGTCGAAACGCCGAATGAGAACACGTTCACATAGCCGACAGAAGGCGATAGCAGATGAAAGCAGACGATAGAAGACGGTCGCAGCCGATAGCAGACGATAACAGTCAGCAGCAGACGATATCAGCCGATA